AATCTGTTGGAACTCTAACTAAATTTAGAGCTCCAAGGTATTGTTTAACGCTGCTAACAACACCATAAAACTCCAAATAAGATGAACAAATACCATACATATCATTAAATTCCTCATATGACAGAAACTCCTTATTGGCCTTGACCAAGTCTATAATTTGGGAGATGCCCTTCTCAAACCAGCATTTCAAGAAAAATGATTTCCTATTAATTTTAATATTAGGGTTATAAAAAATTGGTTCAGTTAAAAAACTACTGAAAGATTCTGGCTTGATTTTCTTATCAAGCACTATAAATGACTGAAAACAACTTTTCCAAAACTCATTACTTATCAAAGATAATTTTCTTTCAAAAAACGTCACACCAAACTCACCAAGTTTACACAAATAAGGATATGTAGATTTAAATAGGTGCTTCCATTTTGGATCACCTGAGGACACAAGTCTCCTTATCCATGTGGCCTTAAGAGATGTTACATATGAAAAGATATTCACCATACCTAAGCCCCCTTGCTTAACAGGTTGACAAACTTTAATCCTCTTTACTTTGTCTCGTTTATCACTCCAAAGAAATTTAAAAAGCATAGCATTTAAAGTAACAAGAAAATCATTTGGGGGATCAGGCAGTGATAACAATAGATAATTGAGTTTTGAAATCAACAAGGATTTAATGATTGCCACCCTACCAATTGGTGTAACTATCCGTTTCATCCACCTATTCATAATCTGTTTTAACTCAAATAATTTGTCTTTAAAGTTCAACTGAACCATTTTTTTCAGATTTGTGCAAAATTTGACTCCTAGAATTCTATAGATATAATTGTTGCAGGGTATGTATGACAGTAATCTAGACTTGCAAGGGTTGTATTAGATATATTTGTTGCAGGGTATGTATGACAGTAATCTAGACTTGCAAGGGTTGTATTAGATATATTTGTTGCAGGGTATGCATGACAGTAATCTAGACTTGCAAGGGTTATATTAGATATATTTGTTGCAGGGTATGTATGACAGTAATCTAGACTTGCAAGGGTTGTATTAGATATATTTGTTGCAGGGTATGCATGACAGTAATCTAGACTTGCAAGGGTTGTATTAGATATATTTGTTGCAGGGTATGCATGACAGTAATCTAGACTTGCAAGGGTTGTATTAGATATATTTGTTGCAGGGTATGCATGACAGTAATCTAGACTTGCAAGGGTTGTATTAGATATATTTGTTGCAGGGTATGTATGACAGTAATCTAGACTTGCAAGGGTTGTATTAGATATATTTGTTGCAGGGTATGTATGACAGTAATCTAGACTTGCAAGGGTTGTATTAGATATATTTGTTGCAGGGTATGCATGACAGTAATCTAGACTTGCAAGGGTTATATTAGATATATTTGTTGCAGGGTATGTATGACAGTAATCTAGACTTGCAAGGGTTGTATTAGATATATTTGTTGCAGGGTATGCATGACAGTAATCTAGACTTGCAAGGGTTGTATTAGATATATTTGTTGCAGGGTATGCATGACAGTAATCTAGACTTGCAAGGGTTGTATTAGATATATTTGTTGCAGGGTATGCATGACAGTAATCTAGACTTGCAAGGGTTGTATTAGATATATTTGTTGCAGGGTCTGTATGACAGTAATCTAGACTTGCAAGGGTTGTATTAGATATATTTGTTGCAAGGTATGTATGACAGTAATCTAGACTTGCAAGGGTTGTATTAGATATATTTGTTGCAGGGTATGTATGACAGTAATCTAGACTTGCAAGGGTTGTATTAGATATATTTGTTGCAGGGTCTGTATGACAGTAATCTAGACTTGCAAGGGTTGTATTAGATATATTTGTTGCAGGGTATGCATGACAGACTGTTATCGTTCCATCACCAGAGTTTGATTGACCATCATCAACATTAAATAGTAAACATCAATGCCAGAGAAACAAGATTCAATTGGGCATGAAAGGCAAAATAGTGGTGCAAATATATAAATGGATCACTTAAAACCAGTGATGACACCAGGTGTTCGCAAAAAGCGTAAGAATATCCTGCCCAAATGGTAGCACCTGCTGCTCACACAATAGGATCGAAAGCATAATACGTAGGCATCAACATCAACATAAGCATGGCCATTAACATCAACATCACACATTAAAAAACACCTCACCATCAACATCACACATTAAAAAACACCTCACCATCAACATCACACATTAAAAACACCTCACCATCAACATCACACATTAAAAACACCTCACCATCAACATCACACATTTGTATCACAATAATTCTCTCCATCAACATCACACATTATTATCACAATATAGAGAATCTCACCCTCGTGTCTTTTTATGTCAAATATATCAACACAAGTTGGCAAAAATGGAAAACTCAGACTTGCCAAGGAATTTTCCACTTTTGTCAACGGGTGTTGATATATTTGATATCAAAAGACATAAGGGTGAGATTTTATTTATCATCCAACATCATTCTTCCATCATTTTTCAGTTTGTAGACAGTAGTAAGCAGTATCTTAAAGGGGCACTGATCTAACGCAATTCCCCGGGACTGGTTGTTGCCTTTGTTATTGTTTTTTCCCAGTGAGTACCCGGATGTTTAGCAGAAATCTAGACTAGTTCGCGACCTCTGCTGCGCCATTCGTAAGCGCATTAGTCACTTGAATGGGTAGTAATATAGAGGGCGTATGGTCACATTGATCAACAAAACGAAATACAGTTTTCGAGATAATAAGGAAATGTAGGTATCTTTGTGGTTAGCATCGATAATGGTGACGAAGTTTTGATAAGTCACTTGCTTGGTAATTTTGCGATTTTCGTTTACACTATTTTGACTTGCAACACAAAGTAAATATTTCACCTGAGCATTGCTTTTTGATAGTGTGTATATTTTTTACTGTCAAAATGTGTAACATTTTCAAATTTATTCAGCGCCTAAATATTCAGTTATTTAACAAAGTGACTGAAAAACATTTCCATCTGTATTATTATGATAACGAATTCCAAACATTTTGATGTTTAATGTCATCACCAAGAGACTGAAAATGTTACGTTGAAAAGTACATTTCTATGTTGTTTGGCTTCTAATCCTACATAATAATCTGTTGTGATGTTTGTAGGCCCTTTTGATCGTCTTAATCAATCTGGACAGATTTTTTAGTCAAAATGACTGAAATATTTACACATTTTATAAATTGCCTGAGAGAATTACATTTTGCAAATTGACGGTAATATATACACGCTTACAAGGGAAAAGGCCTGTGAAAACAACGTCTATCGCGCATTGAAGAATTTCCCAACCAAGACGTAGAGAAACAAGGACGAATCGGTTCAATGCTACAGCAAATGAAGGAAAACAAAATGCAAATACCATAATTACAACCTACCAAATTTATGTGTATAAATTTTAGGCAGCTTCCTTGTTCGAGGAATGTATCCGGGAATATCCACACAAAGGAACAATATCCCATTCGTCTGCAGCTGTACAAAGAAACCTATTCGATGTCACGTGTAACAATCACATATTTTAAAAGATATATATCGTTTCGGGATATTATAACCCGTGTTCGTTTCTCAACTGATCACTAGGATTGTTTCAGATGTTTCACATAGGTGTCAAGTCTCAAGGGTCAGCTGAGAAAGCCCACGTGACAACTATTTTCATAACGTCCACGGTTCCTAAAAAATCCATTGAGTGATAGATAACAATGATCAATCAATCAACGTATTATCAGTTCACCCTTTGAACAAAGTATGTTGTTTTTACATCGGCACTTCACGCAAGGATATGTGTGTATTCCCTTTGTTTTAGTAAACCTAGACATGTAAACACTCACTTTTGACATATCCACTGTGCAAGATAACAGTGATTAATCAATCAACGTATTTTCTGTTAATCCTTTGATGACTAGGAACGATCCGTTGATTTACAAAAAAAAGTAAATCAACTGATCATTCACCTCTTGCTGGTCTGCCACGTGCATATTACATAACACCCATTTCACCTCACTTCAAACCTGGATTTAGATTGAATAATTACCCCAGACACAATAAATGCCAAATGGGAACCTTTGTCAGGTAATCTATGTGGTGCTACCACTAATTGTACCTGTAATAAATTCATTAACTGAGCATCAAGTGAATGACGACAAATACACAAGTGTAGGGTTATGCGAGAAAACGTGGATGACAACAAGGGACTAGTAATCGTATTATCGACGCAATCCGAAAACCGAAAATGCTTTCACTGCATGGATACATTTTTAAGGGTTGACTATAACCATCTGGGGTATTTCCAAATGACGACATCCGATGAGCTCCGCCGTTCTTTTTGTCTGTTAGTTTAGGCTGAAGAAATTAATTAACATGCGCCCTTTGTCGAAATCTTTTTAGATCACAGTTAACAAATCAGTGTTTATGCAAAAATGCGAAAAACAAATATTGCCTCCAGCCTCCAAGTTTATTTAGCTGTCCTTGCAGACGGTAGCCCAGTCTCTGGTCACGCTCAGTTGCGTTGCGTATCATCCGGGTACTCACGGGGGGGAAAAACAATAACAAAGGCAACAACCAGTCCGGGGAATTGCGTTAGATCAGTGCCCCTTTAAGTGTAAAAGGTACTGCTAACAGCTTCAGTAGCAGAGCCATTTGTGATGTCATTGGATTGTCACATTGTAACCAATGATGTCACAATGTATATATCACTTGATCTCACCCAAGCGATATCAACTGTGGGAGCCAGTTGGGGATGATAAATGTTTTAGTTTCAGCTTCACCATCATCAACAGAAGCCTAACTGAATCACTATCAGCATCCCCATTAATCCTATATTTCCGACAGCAGGGAATCAGAACAGGCCAAGTTGCTTCACGAAAGAAATATTTTCAGTAAACTGGCTTCCTTGAGTGATGCTGATGAGTCCTGAAGTATTAACTCACCCACCTGTATGTGTTGTCTAAGTTCACTCAGAATGACCTCCCTTTTTTCAGCGTGTGTTGCGTGGGATGCCAGTGGATGTTTGGGCCAGTGTCACCCCGAATAACATGGTACAAGAGATCTACTTTCTCAAGGTAACCAGTTCTACTCCAGTCAGGGTTCCGCTGCACCAGACCATTATTTGTTCCCTCTTCAAGTTTAGGACCCTCATATCTCATATCTAATTACCTCACCACGTTCCCATTCTATTCTGAGCAATAACTTGAAAACCGTTCAATGTTTTTCAATGAAACTTGGAATCTGCTTTGCTCATCTGCTTAACTGGTGCCTTGATATTTTGAATTTTTTAAAATTAATTTCGTTATGTTTCTGTGGAAACAATTTCGACTAAGCCTCAAATGAGGGCAGGGTTTGTTTGAAAACCTTTCAACACTTTTCAGTGTTTTTCTATGAAACTTTAAATTTGTATTGCTTATTAGCTTAACTGATACCTTTTCATTTGAAATTTTTCTAAATTTTATTTTGTTTCATTTCCATGGGAACAATTTGAGCTTAGTTTCAAAGAACTCTAGGCTTCATTTAGAAAGCCATAACTCTCAATATTTTTTGGATGACATTTATTTATTCTATTATGATTCCACGCTTAGGTATAGTTCCTATACCTATGTCAAGCAAGAGTCACTGGCATAAGGATGGACCCGAAACATCACATCATAATAGAATAAGCAAGTTGCTGTCCATTAAATATCTTACCTTTACTGTTACTTACCAACTTCTAAAATGGCCAATCAAACAGTTCCCATCAAGCACCTGTTTGTGTACATTGTTTTCTTTTGTCTTTCCATCAAGCACCTGTTTGGATACATTGTTTTCTGTTCTCAATGTCTAGCACCTGTTTGTGGAGTTCTTTTTTGATTTTGCAGCAGGCATCTGTATCGGGCAAACCCACACCCCCATCTGTCATTTTAGGAATGTACTTCAAAAACATCACAGCTTATAATCTCGGGAAACCAATGAGTCAAGGTCAACCACAGCCAGGTCAAGGTCAAACTACACCAGGACAAGGTCAACCACAGCCAGGTCAAGGTCAACCACGTCCAGGACAAGGTCAACCACAGCCAGGTCAAGGTCAACCACAGCCAGGTCAAGGTCAACCTACACCAGGACAAGGCCAACCAAGTCCCAGTCCGCCACAAGGAGGTCCAGGATCAGGAAATAGCATTGGCTTACAAAGGGTGAGGATTGTTAAGTAACTACAATGACAATATACAGTGCAACCCTATTACTCCGGACCAGTCAGTCCCGAAGCCAGGCTTCCATGCAATTACTGAATTGCTACACAACATTAATTTTTTGTACAGTTTGCATCCATTTTTGTTCTCAAAATGGTGAGGCAGTCGACTCTATATTTAATAAAAATAATTTAAACTGTTCAAATCATCTGTGTATCCTCCCGCGAGTTTAACTGTTGTATGATGTGATTCAGAGGCCACTTGAATGTTGGTAGGAAGTAAAGGGGCGGTCAGGTAGCCTAATGGTTAAAGCGTTCGTCCCTCACGCCGAAGACCCGGGTTCGATTCCCGACATGGGTGACCCGTATAGATTCCGGGGTAGAATAGGTCTTCAGCAACCCATGCTTGCCGTAACAGGTGACTATGATTGTCGTAAAAGGCGACTAACGGGATCGGGTGGTCAGGCTCGCTGACTTGGTTGATGCATGTCATCGATCCCAATTGCGTGGATCGATGCTCATGATATTAATCACTGGATTGTCTGGTCGGGACTCGATTATTTACAGACCGCCATCATATAGCTGGAATATTGCCGAGTGCAGCGTTAAACAACAAACCAACCAACCAACCCGACATGGGTACAATATGTGAAGCCCATTTCTGGTGTCCCCTGCTGTGATATTGCTGGAATATTGCTAAAAGCGCCGTAAAACCATACTCACTGGTAGGAAGTAAGGAAATAACTGTACTATACACTATGGGTGTGCGGTATAACAGATGGAGGTTCATTCTTTCCATGATATAGACGCGTGAAGATATTAGTAGGGAATAGGTCTTCAGCAACCCATGCTTGCCGTAAAAGGCAACTATGCTTGTTGTAAGAGGCGACTAACGGGATCGGTTGGTCATTGTATCCCAATTGCATGGATCGATGCTCATGATGTCAATCACTGGATTGTCTGATCCAAACTTTATAATTTACAGACCACCGTCATATAACTGGATTATTGTAGTGTGACATTAAACAACAAACGAACAAATGCCAATGTAAACAACCAGGGGCAGTAACTCTATATCCACCTTCTCGCTGCCGCCGACTGCGCCCGACATTTTAACAGCACTTTAATCATTTGCTGACACTGACAATCACAGGGAACCCGACTATATGAGGCAGCAGTCAAAGTAATAGGTTGTTACCTCATATTGAAGCAAGACAGTTAGTTTTTCCATTATTATTTTGCAAGAATGACTTAGTTTTCAGGGGTTGGTCCACAAAGCAATCTTAGCGCTCACTGTCAAAGTAATAGGCTGTTACCTCATATTGAAGCAAGACAGTTAGTTTTTCCATTATCATTTTGCAAGAATAACTTAGTTTTTAGGCGTTGTTCCACAAAGCAATCTTAGCGCTCACTGTCAAAGTAATAGGCTGTTACCTCATATTGAAGCAAGACAGTTAGTTTTTCCATTATTATTTTGCAAGAATGACTTAGTTTTCAGGGGTTGGTCCACAAAGCAATCTTAGCGCTACGACTGTCTTAAATCTATGTGAAAGTATGGGAGTGATCATCTTAGCGTTACAATCGCTTTGTGGAACAGGTCCCTGGTAAAATGTAGTTTAGAGGCGTTTGATGATGTCTTTTCTTTCACAAGAACCCCCCGGAGAAGTTTGTGAGCGTGTTCAACTTCCACGTGGGCCACCCTGACGTGGACGTGTTCGACATCCGCCCTTGTTACCAGGAGACAGCACAGAGGAGTCTGTACATGACCTTCAAAATCTCAGGTAACACACCTCACTGATGGCGGATCCTTAGGGGATAGAGCTGCCCAACCCTCAAGATGCTGACCTAGCTTGTGTTTGGATCACTTTGTTACTTAGGGTAGGGTGTGCACCCTGTGGGTCAGAATAGATCTCCTGGCACTCAGGGGATTGTGGGTCAGAATAGATCTCCTGGCACTCAGGGGATTGTGGGTCAGAATAGATCTCCTTGCACTCAGGGGATTGTGGGTCAGAATAGATATCCTTTCACTCAGGGGATTGTGGGTCAGAATAGATGTCCCAATACTCGAGGGATTGGGGGTCAGACTAGATCTCCCAATACTCGAGGGATTGTGGGTCAGAATAGATCTTCTTGCACTCAGGGGATTGTGGGTCAGAATAGATATCCTTGCACTCAGGGGATTGTGGGTCAGTATAGATGACCCAATACTCAAGGGATTGTGGGTCAGACTAGATCTCCCAATACTCAAGGGATTGTGGGTCAGAATAGATATCCTTGCACTCAGGGGATTGTGGGTCAGACTAGATCTCCCAATACTCGAGGGATTGTGGGTCAGTATAGATCTCCTTGCACTCAGGGGATTGTAGGTCAGAATAGATGTCCCAATACTCGAGGGATTGTGGGTCAGAATAGATCTCCTTGCACTCAGGGGATTGTGTGTCAGTATAGATGTTCTTGCACTCAGGGGATTGTGGGTCAGAATAGATCTCCTTGCAGGTCAGAATAGATCTCCTTGCACTCAGGGGATTGTGGGTCAGAATAGATCTCCTTGCAGGTCAGAATAGATCTTCTTGCACTCAGGGGATTGTGGGTCAGAATAGATCTCCTTGCACTCAGGGGATTGTGGGTCAGAATAGATCTCCCAATACTCGAGGGATTGTGGGTCAGAATGGGTCTCCCAATACTTGAGGGAATGTGGGTCAGAATGGGTCTCCCAATACTTGAGGGATTGTGGGTCAGAATAGGTCCCCAGTACCCCATGCTTGTCTCTCCTTCAATTGTGACAGACCACCTCTGTAGTCTAGTGACAGAGCTTTTTCTTTGAGTGGTAAAGGTCGGTGGCATCATCATACCAAAGACATTAAAAGATGGTATTTTTTGTTACCCTGCCTGACGATCAGCAACAAGGACTGATCGGCTTGAAGTCAGTACACTGTGTCTGAGTGGGGTATTCATGTTAAACTGCAGCATGGTATCTCAGTTGGCTAGAACAAAAAAAATAGTTTTGGTCCAGACACGCATGCACATCGATGTCTGTTTAACGGTCTTGAATGATATGTTTAACCCTATTTCACTTACCTCACCTCACCCAACATAACAATTTTTAGAATTTTGGGGGTAATACAAAGTATTTATTCAAATCTTTTTCCACCAAAAACATATAAGCCAAGAGATTATGGACTTTGCATTGGCTGTCTAAGTGACAAAATGTGATACACACAAGTTCCAAGTGTTTTTAAAAGAGGATATGTGTCTGTTGTCAGGAAGCTACTCTCAGGATGTGTACGGACACAAGTCCATCTTCTTCCCTCCTCTCAGGACCAAAATGGCGCTCAGTGCAAATGTCTCCCTCATCAGGATCGCCGACATCAAGGTGAGATTAATGTCACAGTAAGGCCACAATTTTTTTCACTAACTTTACAGATAGGTAGGTAATAATTTCAATTCAAATTTAGTTTTTAGTTTTTAGTTTTCTCAACTTCAGGTCGGCTGGTATATAATAAATAAAAATGGTTTAATGTTGGAGGGGAGCCTGCACCTAAGTTGTTTTAAGCAGTTCAAACCTCACGAATCAAGCCGAGTACTGTTTTATCCTATCAATTTCAAGAAAGACAAACTTTGTTTTGACTCCAATATTTCATTTATGTCATCTTCAGTGGATATTTGCTTAGAAAATATTTTTTGGTGCAATGTGCTATTAGCTTATTGGCAGGATTAAAAAAGTAGCAGATTCAGGAAAGAAATATTCCATTTCAACCAAAAATACAATCGGCAGATCCTTTAAGCAAGTAAAAGCAAGTATGGTCTTAGTACACAGATAAAATTGGGGGGCACATTTCACCCAGTGGTCTGAGGCACTTGCTGTCAAGAATTGTCTCCCTTAGGCATGTCAGGAGCCTATGGTCAGGAGCCTATGGTCTGAGTCTGAGTCTCAGATTGGTTTGTCTGGACTGTACATGTCAGGGCTTGATTTAAGAAACTTGTTTTAACTTGCACCGAGTGCATGTTGACGTGAAAGAGTACCTGCACTAGACAAAACCAGGTTGCACCCTGGTCTCATAGGTTTATTAAAATTGAAACAAAGATGCATAAACTAGTCTAAATAAATAAAATCTCAAACCTTTGATGACTGTGTCATGTTTCATGAACTACACATAAAACAAAGGACACACCGCGATATAACTGGAATACTGTTAAAAGCGGTGTTAAACCCAACTCACTCACTACACATAAAACGGTGATGGTAAATAAAACTTAGAGCTATTGAGTGTGTTCAAAAATCGATGTTGTGAGTACATGTAAGAGTTAGTCAGACAAACATTTGAAATTTTTTAAATGGACTTGGTCCATGTAGACTCAAGTATTCGGTTGCATTTTTCAATTATAGGTTGCACTGGTGCATGTTTTATATAGCTAAGTCAAGCCCTGCTTGAACTCACTGGTTTCACACTATTGTTGCTCACAATATTGATCACTGGATTGTCTGGTCCAGACTGAATTGTTAAGAGGCTGTCGTCATATAGCTGGAATATTATGCAACAACCATACATGGTTAGATATGGACAACAGCTAACTGTGGATGAGGACCCTTGTGATTGCATATTCCCGGGAAAGGGAGTTAACTGACTATAAAAGTCTAGTTTCCACCCTTGCTGAACTAGGCTGGAATTCCTGGGCTCAATAGTAGCGCCACCAGTGGCTATCACGAGTTATGTCCCTTCTATGCCTCTCCTATGGACCAATCAGATTCAACATCTCGTATCACTTGCATTTGTTCAAACGAAATGGCGGCACCCAGTCAAGACGATCTGACTATCGATAATCAAGATCTATATTGTGATAAAACAGGTCTTACACCGCAAAGTGCATCAAATCGCGTGAGCACCTTGAGAAAAACTGGTTGCGCTACGATCGAGTCTGGAAATTCCAGCCTAGTTCGGCAAGGGTGGAAACTGGACTTTTACAGTCAGTTAACTCCCATGCCTTGGGGTGATGTTGTGATTGAAGCATTGCTACGCCAAGACCTTAGGTTCCATTCTCTACAGCGGTAGTATGTGTGGAGGCCATTCCTTGGGTCCCCACTGTGATGTTACTGGAATGTTTACGTACTGAACATAAAAGGTTAGGGATCATGAATATTTTGGGGATATTTTTATGAAATTGTGTGCGACAAAAAAAAATGTCCCAAAAATTATTTATGAAACCATGACTATATTGCTGAAGACAGCATACAATGCACGTGCTGCCGATGTTTAAGAGAGGTAACTCTGCTGTGTGTTCCAGGTGAGACAAGATGATGACAGTGACAAGAAGCTGATCGTGTCATTCACCCTGTTGGACAAGGCCCCAATCAAAGGTACAGTTAACATTTGTACTTCAAGGCTAAAATAACTAAAAGATGTTGTTAATCCATGTGCATCGTATGATGTGACTCACTTGAGTATTGGGGGGCAAGGATGGGCCAGTCGTCTAAGGCCCCGCGATTCACTGTGCAGAGTTGCGTCCCTTGGGCACACCAGAAACCTATGATTGGGGTTTCGAATCCCGGTTCGCCCCGATTATGTTTCTAGGTTTGTCAGCACCATACCCGTGCTCGTGATCACTGAAGTGGTAAACGTCTGAGACCTGCATCACTTCGGGCTTTCCTCCCACAATAAGCTGACACGCCGTGATATAACTGGAATACTGATAAAAGCGGTGTTAAACCCAACTCACTCACTCACTCTTAGGTAAGATGAGTGAGTGTAGATGCTTCTGTCAACAAACAGTACTGCAACTCTTTTGTCATAAATATTTGTGTGTCATATTTGTAATAAATGTTTGTCAGATATTTGTGATAACTGTGTATCAGGTGTTTGTAATCAATGTTTCTGTGGCAAATGTTTGTTATCAATGTTTGTCAGATATTTGTGATGACTGTGTTTCTGATTTTTATTAATACATATTTGTGTATCGGATGTTTGTAACAAATGTTTGTGTTTCTGCCGACCAGGAAGTGTGGCCGATCCACCCAAGGAGACTTCTCTGGAACACGCCCACCACCTCATCATGCTGTCCGCTGCAAACGGCATCGCCTTCGCCGTCCCCTACCCCATACACTCCAAGGTCGGTATACCTCTTGAGGATTCCGGGTTAGATTAGTCCAACAACCTAGCAGACTCTGTGATATTAAGAAAGGAATCTAATATAGAATCCAGAATGATATGGCAAGTGCTGAGATTAAGTATTGTTCTGGGCTCCATTTGGATTTGATTTTATATTTTGAAGATACTTGTCGTAAGAGACGATTATGCTTGTCGTAAGAGGTGACTGTGCTTGCCGTAATAGGCGACTAACAGGATCTGTTCCAGACTTTATTTATTTACATATAGCTGAGATGTTTCTGAGTGTGGCGTTTAACAACAAACAAACAAATATTGTAAGAGGGTCTTTGTTGGTCTTGTAAGTCACATATTGGTTACTTTTTATGTAATTATCTTTATCTTTGGTCAGGGTGGCGTTAAACGACAAACAAACAATTAGTATGCCGACTTGCTCTACATGTTTAAGTAAAGTGCCGGGCAAGTTGGAAATATAGAAGCTGTTCACCCAACATTGAGTGGGTACCGGGTAGGATGAGATGGTAATGTGAGTGCTAACCTTCTGGCACCTCACAGGCACCTTGGGTTGTATACTCCCCAGGGAGCTGAGATTGAAAATCGGGTGGACGCTAATCCATTGACCAGGGTAACAATAATGTAAAGCTATCCACTTAGTGAATGGACTTTGGAATTGGGCTTTTTTTAATTCAAATTTAGGGTTGGTCGGGTAGCCTAGTGGTTAAAGCGTTCGCTCGTCATACTGAAGACCTGGGTTCGATTCACGACATGGGTACAATGTGTGAAGCCCATTTCTGGAGTCCCCCGCCGTGATATTGCTGGAATATTGCTAATAGCGGCGTAAAACCATACTCACTCACTCACTCACTTAATTCCAATTTAGGTCTCTTAATGCCATTTCCTGAATCTTGGGGCCTGAACATCTGCCGATGAAGGTGCCTTGGTAAACCCCTGTTAAAGTATTGTCTGTTTCTGTCATTGCAGATATTTACTGTGCACACATACTCCATGACATCAAACGCGTCCCCACCCGTGACGACGGCTGTTGAGTCCGGCCTCTCCTACAGCCCAGGTAAAGTCCGTAAGATAATACTCCAAGCATTTATCTTGGAACCTGAAGTAAAATTGGATGAGAAAACATTATTTTGATCAAAATGGGGCTTTTCTTTATGTCATTATTTCCACATTGGATTCAGTGTAATAATGTAAAGATTAAGCTTGAATGCCTTTTGTCTTTTTTTGGTGAAAAGTTAGGTCTACAAATCCATTACAATCTGTGAGACCCATGAAGATGCGGGGTGGAATAGGTCTTCAGCAACCCATGCTTGCCGTAAAAGGCGAATATGCTTGTCATAAAAGGTGACTAACGGGATCGGGTGGTAAGGCTCGCTGACTTGGTTGATACATGTCATCGATCCCAATTGCGTGGATCGATGCTCATGATATTAATCACTGGATTGTCTGGTCCAGACTCGATTATTTACAGACTGCCGTAATACAGCTGGAATATTGCTGAGTGTGGCGTTAAACAACAAACCAAACCAAAACTACCCGTGAAAATCCAGGTAAGAGTTGGTCTCTAGCAACCCATTCATTGTCGTCAGAGGCAACTAACGGGATCGGGTGGTCAGGGTCACTGACTTGGTTGATGCATGTCATTGTATCCCAATTACATGGATCGATGTTCATGATGTCAATCATTTGATTGTCTGGTCCAGACTCGATTATTTACAGACCACCATCGGGTAACTCAGTGGTTAATGTGTTGGTTCATCACAATGAAGATACGGTTCTATTCCCCATAAGGGGGCACGGGTGGCCCAGTCGTCTAAGGCGCCGCGATTCGCTGTGCAGAGTTGCGTCCCTTGGGTACGCCAGAAACCTATGATTGTGGGTTCAAATCCCGGTTCGCCCCGATTATGTTTCTAGGTTTGTCAGCACCATACCCGTGCTCGTGGGTTTCACCGAAGTGGTAAACGTCTGAGACCTGCATCACTTCGGGCTTTCCCCCCACATTAAGCTGACACGCCGTGATATAACTGGAATACTGATAAAAGCGGTGTTAAACCCAACTCACTCACTCACTCACTCACTCACTCACTCACTCACTCACTCACTCACTCACTCACTCTATTCCCCATAGGACTACAGTGTGGGAAGCCATTCCCTCAACCATCATATCACTGAAGTATAACTGAATGTACAACTGAAGTTTCTCACTTACTTATAAACCTATTCATTGGGATCGCTATTAAGTAAGAGACTTCTTTCTATAGGCATTAAAACCTATTGTGAGGTTTTACTTTCCAGTCGGGTTAAATCTCATAAACAGGGACGTTGTAATGTCCCTGGGATTTTATATAATATCCCAGGGATTTTATAGGATATTCAAGTCATATTTGCTATAATATCCCAGGGATTTTATATAATGTCCTGGGTATTTTATTAATGCAACTTCCGTTCAGATTGTAACATGTAATGAAATGTAAAATCAAATGACAAATGTTTTTTTTATATTCCCGAGGATCGAACTCGCAACCTTCATATCTGTAGCCCAGTGAGTGTACCACTTGGTTTTTCCCTCTCCCCAGGACATGCTCTGTCTACCAAAACCTTGTAAGCGTGTTTTCTCCAATACATACTCACTGAATCCACGCCACTGAATTCATATTCTGCCACCCTGTGCAATGCCACCCTACCCCCACCCTACCCCCACCCTACCCCCACCCCTCTACAGTACATATCTTAATTGTTAGCATTACTCCCAACTCCACAGCATAGAATCCTAATAAAAAATATTTAGAAGTTTTGAGTATATCTATGAGTAGTGGTGGGTGTAGGTCTGACCTTCATATTGCAGTTTATTGCCACAATGAGTCCTGGTTTGTCATCAGTATCACAACATATTGCATGTGCTTTTCATTTAATTTGTCATGAACTGGAATGAAAATGGAGGCATACACCAGACTTCCCCTGCACATTTTGCCCAACTCTGCAGTCTTCCGCCATTTTGTTAGATGTTGCTATGGTAACAACGCATGTGTAATTGGCACCACTCACTTAAAACCCACTGACTTACTCAACATGTTAAGAGCAGGTACACTATCTCTCACACTCACTCATTCACTCACATTCACACACTCACTCACACTCACTCATACTCTCTCACTCACTCACATTCACACACTCACACACACTCTCACTCACTCACTCACTCACTCACTCACTCACTCACTCACTCACTCACTCACACTCACTCACTCAACATGATGTAAACTCAAACCCTACCTACCCCAAGGTTCTGGAGCTCACCTGAATTTCTGGGCGTGTTATCCAAGGGTTAAACCATGTGGCCTGCTCCTTGTTCCAGGGTCTATGGCGGGGCTCGGGATCGGTATGATCATCTTCGGCACCATCATCGGGCTCCTAATCGCCTTCATCGTCTACCGCCGCATCTACACTGAAGTGCCCTACGAGAGGAACTAGACAACATTGTCAGGATATCTGCAAAATGATTATTTTACTGCCATTTTACAATAATGTTATGATCCATCCTTGGTTTTACCCGGGTCTATCTATTTACGAGTCTTTTGATTTCCAAGCCTAATTGGGGTGGTCGGGCAGCCTAGTGGTTAAAGCGTTCGCTCGTCACGCCGAAGACCCGAGTTCGATTCCTGACATGGGTACAATTTGTGAAGCCCATTTCTGGTGTCCCCCGCCGTGATATTGCTGGAATATTGCTAAAAGCGGCGTAAAACCATACTCACTCACTCACTCCAAGTCTAATTTGACAAAAAAGTCAACTATTGACGCTCTGAACTTTTGTGTAGTAATTCAAACAGCCAAACTATTTTGTCTGCTCCAGGACTCAGTGGAAATTATTTGCATCCATTCTGAATTTGTATGTGTTAGAGATGCAGTATTTTGCGTCTGGTCAAACCCTGTACCAGCCCATTGCTGTGATTCATTACTTTAACTACCTGTCACATGGTTAGGGGGGCTGTAACGATCACTTTGTCATGATATCTTTATAGTAAGGTCGTGATACGACTCATAACACAATACCAAGGTCACAATACGATGCATGATACGAAAGAAATAAAAACAAATCAATTTTCTTCAGGTTTTACCAGAGGAGAAAATTATCAGTAGAGTTGGTCCACAGCAACCTATTCCTGTCACTGGAGCCAAGTATCCGGGGTAGAATAGGTCTTCAGCATCCCATGCTTGCCGTAAAGACGACTGTCGTAAGAGGTGACTAATGGGATCGGGTGGTCAGGCTCGCTGACTTGGTTCATGCATGTCATTGTATCCCATTTGTGTGGATCGATGCTCATGATATCAATCACTGGATTGTCTTGTCCAGACTCGATTATTTGCAGACCGCCGTCATATAGCTGGAATATTGCTGAGTGCGGTGTTAAACAACAAACAAACAAGCAAACAAGAGGATCAATCAGAAACTGGCTTCACATTTAAAACTGTGTCACAAGGTATTTTGAAAAAAAAATAACATGTGCCTTAAAGTGTGCCTCAAAGGCACTGGGACCTTATTTTAACCATGCCATTATGAATTTTTCTGTACCATTGACACTGTAACATTCACAGAAGGAACATTGAACCAGGTTGTACCCCTGATATCTTCAAAGTACTTGATGTACAAGGCATCCAACACAAAAACTATTGTTTGATTAGTTGTATGTACATTTGATATCAATACTATATAAACAAAAGAGAGTTCTTTTAGCCATGTCACTGCGAACATAATGCTGAGGTGGTGTTAAATTTTAACAGTCGATTGAATCTTGTTTCTACTCCCTTGAAGAGTTCCTGCTTAAAGAAAGGGAGATAATTCCACGTTACCCGAGTTGAGTGAATGAAAATTGTACGAATGAAGCTGTACTTCTATATATACATCTGAAAATAGCTAAACACCTCTTGCAATATATTTCAATATAAAATAGTATTTTTTTTAAATTGTATACTGTATTTATTTTCTATGATGCCTTGTAATTGTTCCATGGCAATAGCATTTGACTACCTTTCATCAGCAGCCTCTGGTTTTGGAATCGTGAGATGTGACTCACTACTTGACAGAAGGGGCACTTGGGGCCCAGTCGTCTAAGGTGCCACAAATGGCTTTTCAGAGTAGACAGAACCATATGATCGTGGGTTCAAAATCCTGGTTCACCCTCATTATATTGTTTGTATATAACAATTACCCATACCCGTGCTTGTGGGTTTTACCAAAGTGGTAAACGTCTTAGACCTGCTTCCCTTTCATCCTGTGATATTACTGGGATACTTATCAAAACAGAGTTAAAAACCACTCACTCACTCACTCACTCTTTGCATAATATAATATGACTCAGTACTTGACACAATCTGGAACATGTCAGCAGGCATTGGAAATTTCTCATTTTCAAAATGAAATAAATCTTGTGTACATTTTTCCATATGCATGGAAGTTAAAATGAAACTGGATTGATGCTTATGATGTCAATCACTGGATTGTCTGTTCCAGACTCGATTGTTTACAGACCACCATCATATAGCTGGAATATTACTGAGTGTGGCGTTAAACAACAAACAAACAAATAATATGAAAGTGTTGGATTGGTGCTTGACATTCCTCCAGGTGTACATACAAATGTGACCCCCCAGGAGAAAGGGACCTAGGATACTATTGTGCTGTATAATCATAAAAGACGTTTGACGTCAACTTATTGAAGCTTATGAATTGTATTTTTGTGGCACTGAGATACTGTAGTTTTAAAATGTAAGTATAATGTAATATATAATGTGATTTTTCACCCATAAGGTTCCTTATCTCATGGTGGGTCACAAATATTCTCCATTTGACCCATGTCATTAACTGGTGTACATATTTTCCCTCATTTTATATTCTTCTACAGCAATAACATGTTCACATTTTGATACTAAAATGTAATTGGAATAGCAAAAAAAATCAAAATAAAACTGTAGAATGATATTGTGAAGTTATTGTAGTATCTTGACAATGATGATGCTATTGTCCTAGTGCTAATATGATGTCAGTGTTCTGACAATTTATACACCTCAAAAGAAGTTCAGTACAGATTAAAGAAATATGAAAGAATTTGGTGTTTTCTAAGTTCCAGTTACATTTGTAGTTGTAGTTGCAGGGTATAATGTGGAGATTCACAATCTCGTTCAAATTAAATTTTTTACTCCTATATTCGACCTCTCTGCGTAAATATCTGACGACCAGTTCAAAGGTCACACAGAGCTCCAGATAAGCTTTTGGTGTTGTGGGTATTTTACCCATGCATTTTAAAATCATTGGGTATCAGTAATTCTATCTGGGTATTCAAATTTCTGTTACCCACTTGTTTTTACACATGTTGGTATTTAAGTTAAATATTTAAAAACACTATGTTCTAGTCCCTGCAAACTGGTGTCGTGTGCGTTCGAGAGCTTCACAGGACTCAAAAATACCACGATACTTCCACAAGAAAGTGTGATGGCAAATGATCATGATGTAACTGTCATCGTGGAGTTTGGCAAGGTTGACGGAATGCCCGTTTATAATTTCAAAATAAGTTGCTGATTTGCTAATCGAATACTCAGGGTAAATTCACAATATTTTGATGATACGCACAAGTTTTATTTTTGTAGCTTATCTGTAATGTCCGTTAATGTATTTGATACGCTAGGATTTTATTTTACTGCATATTTCTGCATTTCTGATGCATATTTTACGCAGATACGCAGCTAATCTGGAGCTCTGTCACATCAGGTGAACTTTGACCCCCAACCTGAATGAAGTATGCATGGATTATGGAGCCAATCAGCTGTCAGCTTTTTATACAATTAGGCTCTGTTTATTTACCATCTCGATTCATATCTTAACAAAGGAAAACCCCAGAACACAAATATTCCACTGATAGTATTCCCTTTTGGATATAGAAACTGTGGTGCTCAGAAACGACAGGGTGTTTAAAAATCCACAATGTAGTAACATGGCCTTTATTATTGTGCATTTGGAACTGCCCATTAATGTTTATTTTTGAGACACAGAAATCTTTTCTGCTGCTCTGAAAGTTTACCTGGCAGCCTCCTATGGAGATCTTCTTCCAGGAAAGTGTCACATCAGAGTGTAACCTGATGTAACAGAAATACTGTTTTAAGCAGTGTTTAACCATCAACATCTTTAGAGTGTAACCTGATGTAACAGAAATACTGTTTTAAGCAGTGTTTAACCATCAACATCTTTAGAGTGAAATCTGATGTAACAGAAATACTCTTTTAAGCAGTGTTTAACCATCGACATCTTTAGAGTGAAATCTGATGTAACAGAAATACTCTTTTAAGCAGTGTTTAACCATTGACATCTTTAGAGTGAAATCTGATGTAACAGAAATACTCTTTTAAGCAGTGTTTAACCATCAACATATTTTCCAACATTTTATTTTTTATAATTTTATTCTTCATCTCAAACAACGTCACATGATGACAGAGATTTACAACCATGAGGTGAAATGTTTAAAATGTATGCTGAATATTTGCAGATGCTAATAACATGACCATCAAGTTGGTGGTTGACGATACATTTTGTATACAACAGCATTTAGCAATCCCTGTCAACAAGGGAATGTCAGAGTTAGTTTCAGCTGAACAAGTGTACCTGGTAAGCAGTCAGTCTCTGTGCATACAACAATTTCAACTCAACTAATTTTAATTTTTATAAATTAAATTATGTTAGGCAAGACACTTTTGTTTTTGGTTTACGGGGTTTTATTCCCCACATTTAGTTTGATAGGTTCTGAAAAATTATTTTTCATTTATTCCAATTTCAAATATTTTTGTTGATTTCCTTAAAATGTTAAGTAGCAATGAAAAGAAAACGTGGAAGTTTTTTTTTATGTGTTTTAACAGGTTTTAATTTTGTTATTTTAGATAATTTATTTATATTAATATTGACAGTAAATTAGTTGGGTTTTTTTTAACATTTTGCTTATTTCTGGTCGGAGTAGAAAAACACTAATTTTTGCTTTCTTTCACATTTCAATTTTTTTATTTAGTCTTCCATTTCATTTAATTAAGCAGTCTTTGGACATTTTACTTTCCAATATTATTCAGAATATCTTGCCAGTACAAATAACAAACGAGCAGTTTGCTATTGGTACTGAGGTCCTAAAACAGAATTACGTGCTCTACAGATGATGAAACTTACGAAAAATCCTTGTGAACTTAGCGTTTTGGTCAGTAGTGTTTCTGGGGCAACGGAAGAATTTCCACTAAACAGGGGGTTCACCTAGAGTTCATGCTCAAGGTGCATTATTGACCCAGTCACTCTTGAGCCAACCTTCCACCCCTGCTCTTGTCATGGACTGCTCCGATTATGCATATATCTGCGAGTTCAGTTGACAGGTGATTTTTCTTAAGTTTGTGTAGTAGTAGATAATTATTTCCAGAGAAACTGTTAGATGTGGGCTTTTTGGATCATTTAACTTCTACAGTTTTTATCAAATCGGAGGATCAAATGTGGTATCGTTAATAATAATAAGCATAATAGTCCACTTGGAAAACCACAACTCCACAGCAATGTAATCACGAAGTTGTACATTCTTATTACCCACATCAATGGCTCAGAGTGGGCTCGAGTTTCATTCTCAGCTCAATGGGGAGTATATTTAGTAAGCATTCAGATCGGACATTGGTAAGTTGTTTCAGAGGACTGACTTGATTGTTTTTGGTTTCATTCATCACAAGTGACACATATGTGCACAAGTTCATGTTCCCTTAATTATTCTCAAACCACTATGTGAAAATCGATTTCGGAGAATATTAACTTGTGATGATCAACTATAACAAATTCATCAATATATGATGGAATTATTAAGTTTCAGATGAGCCTGTGGTATATTTTTCTGAAATACAAGGTTATATATTGAACAAAACTGATGTGACTTGACACATTCCATTTGTTAACTGAATGATAAAAAATGTTTTTTGTACAAGTTAATGTTTTTGTGTTGTTTTATGAAGAATTACATTTTTCAGAATAAAAGGAAATAGATTTGAAATATTAGTTTGTAATTGATTCCATTCATGAAATTCCATATAAAATTCTGGTTCTCCATTCATTGAGGACATCTGTGATATAACTGAAACGAAGTCCAAATTACGCTCGTCGTATTTTCAGAATTAAATATCCGCCCTTGAACGCTCAATATCGCCCTCAAATCTCAAAACAGATGGGGCTCGTCGCCCATTCGAACTGATCGAAGGGAGGTAACTCCGTGTGGACTGTTCTGGTGGCCGCAGATGTGGTCGAACACTTCCCATGTTTCTCGTGTGTAACAGCCTCGTATTTCTGACGGGGCATACCACTAAACAATTATGAATAGTCTTCGCCCACCTCAACGTGGATATAGTGAGACAAAATTATTACTGATTTATCGCAATTTCCTGCAAAGTTGCAAAGTTAAAAAATGAACAGACAAATTGTTGATCTCAAAGCTAACCTTGGCGTTTGTGATAAAAAAAACCCCACATCTCATGGAAAGGCTTTTTCCAGCATTTACCGTGCGAATGGAAGATCTTGTCTCCAGTTACCAATGCTAGTTGTCCCAAATGTGAATCGAGTGGTCACAATGTGTGATCTGAGGTCACAGAAGTAACTTGAGATACGCAGTGACGTCTATTTCGTTTCTCAGCAATATACCAGCTATGTAACCATGGGCGGATACAGATACAGATTTTATTTCGAAAAAAATCTTTATTTCTGTATAAATTACCACCAAAGACAATAAATATATCTTAATTGTGCACCCCCCCTTTTAGAAAAAGCTGTATCCGCCCATGGTAACGACAGTCTGTAAATATTTGAGTCAAGACCAGACAAACCTGTGGTTGATATAAGCAACGTCGCATGGGACACGAAGTCAGCCATCCAATCCATTTAATCGAGACTGACCAATGAATCTTCGCTTCCAACTTTTTAACAGAAAACGCGCGCGAGTAAAGTTTAAATCCCTGTATAAGGTAGCTCGTAGTAAATTCTCTGAATATGTTTAAAATTTAAATATTAAAAGATACTAAAATATTTCTCAAAGCGTCGTAAAACCTTATAATTAACCCAAAGACATATCACGCCGTTGCCTGCAAACTAAAATAATTGATAAATTACTGGATTGTCTGGTCCAGACTCGATTGTTTACAGACCGCCGTCATTTTGCTTGAATATTGCTGAGTGGCGTTTAAACAACCAACAAAACTAAATTAAATCATTTTTTTTAAATTCACTTTTCGATACGTGACAGTGTACAAAATACTACCGAGTACACACGAAACGCTGAATATTCATTTAAAAAAAACCCAGAATAAATGTCGGTCATGAGCGACCATGCGTGACGATACGAACAACTGAAGCTAATGCGTTGGCCTCTCAACGACAGAAACCGTGCACGCACAGCTCGTGGTTAACGTGCATGGGCAACCTCAGCGAAGTTTAAATAATGCACGTTCTTCATGTAGTGCACGTGCAAATCGTGCGCTAAACCCGACATGTGGACTGAAAAACACAAACTTATCACGATCTTCGCAACGAACGGCAAGGAGAACGAACATTTTGTTTGTATTTCAGATAAGTATGAGATGAAATGTGTTTAAAGTAAGCGCAGCTAATTCTAAGTACTTAGAACCCATTACATGGCACAAGTAAACTTTGATTTTATTTCATGATTTATTTGGGGTAAGCTAAAACAAGAAGCACTAAATATGGCTATTTTGGTCCTCAGATGTTGTGTTGAAAACTTCTCTGTTTCTTTGTTGTTTAACGCCGCACCCAACAATGTTCCAGCTATTAGACGGCGGCCTGTAAATAATCGAGTCTGAACCAGGCAATCCAGTGATTTCCATCATGAGAATCGATCCACTCAATTGGGATACGATGACATCATGCATCAACCAAGTCAGCGAGCCTGACCACCCGATCCCGTTATTCGCCTCATACGACAAGCATTGTAACCTTTTACGGCAAGCATGGGTTGGTGAAGACCTATTCCGGCACCCGTCCTGTAAAACTGCCCAATAGCTATCATAAGGACTTGTAGAAATGTGCCATTTTTAAGGGTTTTGCTATATGTTACCATTTATAAGGACCAGTAGACTAAAACAGTTTCTGTCACTGTATTCTAACCCGGATCTTCACGGGTCGTTCTATGAAAGAATCCCAAATCAACAGAAATTTGGAAAATTACAGTTCTCTTATCAATTGCTATTTTTCTTGGGGTGTTTATGCTTTTACTCCCTTAAGTCCAATATTTTTCACATAATTGTGCTCAAAATGCTGTTTGTCGCGATTTATGATTTGCACCTGTTCGTGTTCGACCCCAAATGTGTCACATGTCACATAAATTCACAACCGCGATGAGTATCGAAATTACAATTACACGCCCCGGCGTATTTGTGCGTTTTACACTGCAGTAGAGTTCATGTATGTACACGCGATGTCAGCAACACGTCTAGAAATCGCGGCACGGAGAGTTTTGTTTGTTTGTTTGTTGTTTAACGCCGCACTCCACTGTATTCCAGCTGTAAAAATGCGGTCTGTAAATAACCGAGTCTGGACCAGACAATCCAGTGATTGGCATGAGCATCGATCTACGCACAAGCACGTGCAGAAATGCATCAACCAAGTCAGCGAGCCTGACCACCCCATCCAGTTTGTCGCCTCTTATGACGAGACCAGTTTTAACCGGGATCTTAACGGGTGCGTATTGGACGCAACAACGGCTACATTCGTTAATTAAGCAAAGTTAATATACTAATGTGGGGGTTTATTTTCAAATCATGCGCATGTCTTGGGGATGCAAGCAACTCAAAATTAATTGGGAATAGTAAATGTTCCTGCGTATTTAGACAGATACGCAGCTTATTTGGAGGTATGGGCTAAGATTATCACATTAAAGGATGCGTTTTTCACAGAAAGGTATTTTAGTCGAATTCGGCGTTGTGTTCAATTCAATTCAAATTCAAATACACATACTTAGTCATTTTCTAATTTTTGCCAAGAATATCGATGAAACGAGAAGAAGAAAAAGACATACACTATTCAAAGAAGCGGTTGTAAAATCTCCACGGAGGCTGAAGCATCACGGAAATAATGTACGTTCCTATTGATATCTACCTTTGTAAGAGGGGGTCGGACATTGGATTGAGAAGATTGAGGGTTTAGGGACTTTGGGTGAAGAATGCATGCCAAAATAAAGAATCATGTTTCATATATAAATACTTTTCCGTGTTTATATATTGAATATGTAGGTATATTGATATTAAAACGAGATCAATTTGCAGATTTCCGTTGAAACGAAATACCTATATATACTGATTAAAAAATGTTGGGATCATGATTATTTTGGAGATTTATTACAATGAAATTGTGTGTTAATCCTTCACAATAACAAAAATCCCCCAAAATATTTACGAAGTATAGCAGTAAACAGTTATTAGTTACCAACTAATTGTACTGATGGACAAGTTTGTTGTTTGATATTTACTTAGCATCCATGAAAATTAAACGAAAAGAAAATATACTTCGGTAAAGTCAATCTAAGTATTTTGTTTTCTTGTTCGCAAAACATTCCTTGCAAATGATCCCGAACATGGCACGAACTGCCAACAGCGCCACCGTTGTCATGGCAACTGTAGTTGAGATCAACCGGCCATTGCAAAACACAAGAGATTCATTTCCTTAATTGCGTAAACGTAATTCTTTAACCCAATATATTTTAAAAACAATTATCAACGATGTAAGTCAGATATCCCGAGGGTTTTAATGTACACACGAGTGTCTCGCGCTTTACCAGGGATTTTAAGAACCCAATTTCAAAAGGGACTAAATGAGTAACCATGGTAACCAACATTTTTTTTAATTTCTCATTTGAGGTATGTTTCTACATATTTGGAAAGCGATAAACGCATGCTGATGATACAAGCAGCTAAGTGTTTTTAATGCATTTGATGCATTTTCCAGAAAACACAAATTGGTCCTTCGTTTCCACAACTAAATGTTCTAGCAATTCCTTTGTAAATTCTGTTTGAACGAAATGGTGAAAAAAGTGTAAAATGAAGCTCGATAAATTGCGCTCACACCACATGGTCTAAAGTGAAATCAGCTGCACGTCGGTTTTTTGGTGTGTGTTTTTTTATCAGTATATATTACAAATTGGTTTATTTTTACGAAATATCAGATTATTTCACTTCATATATTTATATTTCGTATCTGTTTGTACCTGGCGTTATTTGTCCACACATAACATACGACACGTCTCGGTTTTGAAATCGAAGTTATAATTGTACCAGACAATTAAGTCTAGTAGAAATATCCCAACTCTCATAAACGGCCGTTGATAGTATATTTATTTCTACTGGCGAAATTTAAAAATTCCTTGAAAACTCAATATATTTTTATAAGTATGCACTTCTTTGTAATAATATTTCGGTTCTGAAAATATGTTACAGTTCTTTCTTTTTGCCCGATATCAAGCCCGCAAATGTTAATAATTTGTTCAAATATTAACAGTTAATTTTATACCGCCGTTATATAGCTGGAATATTTTTTATTGCGGCGTTAAACAACAAACAAACAAGTTAATTTCATAAAATATCATTCCACAAAAGTGTTTGTGTAGTAATCGCTATATATATTTAAAACATTTATCATAAACGTTATATTTATATCGATAGTAATTGATCTATTTGCCCGTGACGTTTCTTAGTCTACATAAGGCCAAAAATATTTACTATGCTAAATAACAATCCATCCAGATTAAAGGTTCATGTGTAAAAAGAGGACATATATTTATATCTCAGCACACGCGCCCGGATCATCGAATCAAGTTGGAGATCCGTTCTTGCAACTGGAGGTACATCATCAATATGTTCACGGGCGAGTCTGGTGTTTTTTGTCGGGAATACATACTTTTTAGTAGTGTTTTTGACGGTGTATCATGAACGTAGTGGAAGAAATTCGAGACAGGATTGTTGTGCTTCCGAACATTCCACAGCGGTAATGTCATGC